TCTTGATATCAGGTATTATTTTCATAGAAAGATGTTAATCATGGATAATGAACAAAATTATGATATCGGGTATTATTTTCATAGAAAGGTGTTAATCATGGATAATGATCCAAATAGTGAATTCGGGTATGATTTTCATAGAAGTGTGTTAATAATGGGTAATAAACGAAATTTTGATCTTGGGTATTATTTTCAAAGAAAGGTGTTAATCATTGGTAATGTACTAAATCTTGATTTCAGGTATTATTTTCATAGAAAGATGTTAATCATGGATAATGAACAAAATATTGATCTTGGGTATTATTTTCGTAGAACGGTGTTAATCATGGATAATGAACAAAATATTGATCTTGGGTATTATTTTCATAGAACGCTGTTAATCATGGGTAATGACCGAAATCTTGATATTGGTATTATTTTCATAAATAAAAGTTTAGAGAAGATCTTATATTGTTTTTAAAATTTTGGGTAACATTACTGCCTTGGTACAGAAAAAATGTCACAGTTATTTATTCTGTCTTTCAGATTATAGTTATTTATTTGATTAGGCTAATAGTGTAATATTCATATTCCCAAATATCTTCCAGATGAAAAGCTGATAACTATGAAATGTATGTTCAAGAAATGTTATGAAATGTAATATTTCGAAAACAAACTGCAAATTAAAACAAAGAATACAAGTGAACAAATAAAACTTATATTTATTCACTCACAGACTAGTCAGCTCCTGGTTCAATATATGTGAACAAATAAAACTTATCTTTATTCACATACAGACTAGTCAGATCCTGGTTCATTAGATGTGAATAAATAAACCTTGTCTTTATTCAGAAACAGACTAGTCAGTTCCTGGTTCATTATATGTGAACGAATATACCTTATCTTTATTTACACACAGACTAGTCAGCTCCTGGTTCATTATATGTGAACGAATATACTTTATCTTTATTTACACACAGACTAGTCAGCTCCTGGTTCATTATATGTGAACGAATATACTTTATCTTTATTTACACAC